GGTCGGTCTGAGGCTATGGCCAGTAGCCCGGACCGTCAGGTGGGGTTTTTCCACGACGGAGTAGAGTTAGGCACGGAAGCGTATTGATTTTACAAAGAAAGCTTTACTTGCACTGCTGATGGTCACAGTGCAGGGAGGAAACTTGCTTGAGTTGCAGTTGCACACAAACAAACACAAGTGAGATCTCTTCTGAACCGAGATGAGTCGTCGATGTACAACTCCACGAGTGCTTCACACGGGGGATACGTCAAATTACACTATGACGGGGAGTGGCTAAGAGCTGATCAGGCCTCTATGTCCTCCTCCAAGACACACACGGAGTTTGCTAGGCTCCACAGCGCGCTCAGAGTTCCCCACGAGACGGTTGTGGAGTCCTCCAACTTGGGCGGAAACTGCTCTAACCTTTTGTACGGCTAGCGAGCCAATTGCTAGCCACGTAGGAATAATTTAGAATTGACCAATAGTGGGACACTAATTTGCATACGTGTGGCGGGAACTCTTTTGCACCGGGGATTTCTCTCTGCAGCTGAGAAATCCACCGCGCAAAGAAAGCTCCATGTGGCGGGAAAATTCCAATGTGCCGAGGCACTAAGAATCATTGGGTTATGACACCTGGAAAGGAGAAGCTCCAAGGCAACTCACTCCCTGCTCAAGCCCACCACCCCCATGTCCCTGCCCGCCCATGGCAGTTGAGCTGGGGTTGGTGACTGGTGGCTAATGGCTAGAGGACTGCCAGCCAGGTAAAAACTCAGGGCAATGAATTTGCCATAGAAAAACTCCCAACTCTGAGCATGTTTTATTATTTTTATTATAACCGTTGGCAGCTAAACAGAACATGGTAAAATATGAGATTTAATAGTAATAACTGGTGCATTGCATGAAGGGTTGAAATCTGAAGGGATTTTTCACAAATATTCAATAATTAGCAAGAGAAAGGAAGGTATCTTAGAGATTTTATCATTAGAGAATGAAGAAAACAAGGGGATTTTTTCTCTGTACCCAAGGATTAGACAAAACTAAAAAATTAGTCAAAATTTTGTAATGAAAGGAGAAAGAATTTTTTTTTTTTAGAAATTCATATGAATATACGTTGAACAATTTAAAAAGTCCTTGTTCCCACTCCTGCCTTTTGCTATTGACCCAGGCAGGAGGGAGCCCCTGGGGCAGGGAATAGATCTGGAAGAAGGTTCTTCAAAAGTTGCTTCTTGGGCAGAGTGACTTCCCTGTGACCAGTGTGAGGAGCAGAGAAAAAAGCCAGTCCATAACCATGCTGCTCAGGGAAGGAGCTGCCCTCACAATGTCCGGGAGTCTCGTCTGCAGTTTCTTGGACTCTGTTCTTTTAGAGCCTCATACAGATCCACTGAAATACATGTAAAAATGCCTTATTGACCTCACTGGGCTTCAGCACAGGCCATTTTAGCAGTTAATTTAGAAAAATCTCTGAACACTGAGACACTATTGAAATTGCAGACACCACTGATTAGGCTTTCCTGGTGATCTTCTACATCCTGCTTAAAATAATCACATTAATAATGCTAAACCTGCATTTTCACCTACCTTACCAGTCCAAAATAATATAAAGGATTTCTGTCAGTGTTGAACTTGTATTATCCAGAGAGATGGTGGAAGCTTGTGTGGCAGGCCACTGGCAGGCAAGTGCTCCTGTGCTGGGTCACCTGCCCCACTGCGCCTGGCCATCTTCCAGGCTTTGAATGCCCCCTTGGGGGTGCCTCACATCCAGCCGAGCCCCTTCCTGGAGCACACCTGCAAGGCTGGGGGAAATGCTGCCACCACCCAGCACCTGGACTGATCTTGGCCCTGTGCCCCCTGGGAAACACCGGCTTAGTAGTTCTTGAGGGCACTTGACCCACTGCAAGAACTTGGGGTGCTTCCCTTAGTCTGAAGCACAAATCAAGGTCTTCCTTAGTCAGCTGAACCATGGGGACCCCCAGGCATAATCTAGACCCTCTCCCAATAAGTCTCCCATGCTATGTACAGAGGAGAACTTTATTGATTACAGGGTTTGGAATAAGGCACAGGGTAGAGTAGTACCCAAGGAGGGCAGAGGGAACTACAGCAGCACAATAAAAATGTCTAGACTGCTTATTTGGAGTGGAGCTGTCTTCTGTCCTGTCTGCAATGTCAACACTGTGACACCCCCTTTAAAGAAAACATCCCGCATGCTGGCAGCTGAGCCAAGAAGGAGCTCTCTGGGGCGTGGGGGGCTACAGATGGCTGGGGAAACCAGAGATACAGAAGATCCAGGGTCTCAAAGCCAGAGGCTTGCCCCTTCGAATCCACTCCAGGGGCGGCTGCGGGGGTCCTTGGGGGGAAGGAGATGGAATAAGGCTTCTTCTTGGCGATTCTTGAGGAAGAGATTCCCCCTCAAAAGCGGTGGGATCTGTGACAGCAGGTCTCACCTCCATGATCCCTGACCTGTGTTTCCACAGCACATTTCCTTCCAGGGCAAGAGCTCCTCTAGACAGAGGTGGGTTTTTGACCCTCAGAAAACTGCTGTTCAAGCCTGCCCACAATAGTAGGACTGAAAAAGTGAAATGTGGATGGAGACTATGAGGCCAGAGCATTCTGCAGAAGGCTATATCACAGTATCATAGCACAAGGCTGTAATATCACTCTCAATCCCCTGCCCTGTCCAGGCACATCTCACATCACATAATGAAACCATGAAGAGAAGAAGCAATGACCTCCTACCTCCAGAGGAACACAAGGACGGCTGGGCTCATGTGCCTAGGATTCTCCTGAACGGGCAGGGGCTCTGAACACAGGGGTATGCATGGCACATGAGCTGCGTCTCAGAAACCCCAAGCACAACACCGTGCATTTCATACACTCACCTTTGCTTCTGCCTTTGTACGTCCACCTGGAAGGAAAAGGAACCACCACTTTCATCTTGTATTCAGCAAGGGGTCATGCCCAGTTGCCTGGGGCTGTGTTGCCCTGAAGAGGGACCCTTCTGCAGAGTCCCCATCTGTCCCCTATCACACAAGACTCCAACCTTGAAATTTCATTAGGACCATTTGCACATGTTCTCCTAGCAATCCTTCATGCCCCAAGCATTCAAAATAGCTGAGATAATTAATCTGCATCCCCAGAACAGAAAATTACCTCTTTCTTCAATCTTCTTTCTTCAAATATTTCTGAGGCCAAGGAGCTCTATTACCATGATGTCAATGTAGTGAGCACAGCTCCACTGCGATGATCCTTTCAAGGACAATGTTGTTATCCAAAAAACCCAGGAAGTCTTTAACAAGCTTGGAAATGCCATGCTCCCAAGAGACTCTCAAAAATGCCACCTTGAGATTAAGGGAGTTCATATTAAAATTAACTCAGCAAGCAGCATGGAGCAGACTGTATTCACTAGATAAGAAAGAGTAGAATAATACTCACAATGAGTCAGGCAAATGCTTTTCTGTCACATTGAGAGAGGATCAGTCATCAGTATCCCCCAAAAGGCAGTCACTACTTACCAAGGCATAGGGATCACATACTCTTAATTCTCTGTAAAGATTTTATGTTTCCTCCAAGTTTTACTCTCCCTAATTCTCCTTCCCTTGGTTCTCTCTAGGGCACCTGTCCAGCTGACAGGTGCAGACAAGGAATTGGCTGTGGTCTGATACCCTGGGGTGGGAACCTACCATGAACCCCCTGCTCTGTAGCTCTGCCAATGCTTCTCATACCTACACTGCCAGTCGGGACCTTGCTGCCTTTACTTTCCTTTGTGGTGTCAGGGCAGGGTAGTAGGTCTGCAGAAGTTGTGGAGACCCCGCCCCTGGGAGCCAAGTGTCTCCATGGTTTGCCATCCACCTGCTTCTCAAGGACACACACCTTTCTCTCCTCTCTCTGATGATGAACAAATGGTGAATCACAAGTTCCTGCCTCCATGCATTTCTGCCCCTGCTACCTGCCACTTTCCATAAATACGTGACCCAGACTCTTATCTTCCTACTGTCTGAGCTGTCTCCACAGCACGTTTCCTTCCAGGGGCAAGGAGTCTTGTGAGAGGGAGCAATTGTTTGTCTCAAAGAATGTGGGTCTTCAAACCTAGTCACAATATTGTTGTTGCTACTTACCCCTTCATTCCTCCAGGTAAGAGCCAATCTAAAAGTGGAAATAAGAGGAGAAAGACTTTTGCACCATGATAGCGATGATGACAAACAGAGGAGCAGGATGAAGGCTGGGCTCTTGTGCTGGGATTATCTCCCTGGCCAGGGTCTCTGAAGAACTGGGTGTGCATGAAGCCTGGGCTCGGCTCAGAAGCCCCTAGCACAACACCATGAATTTCATACACTTGCCTTTGCTTTTGCCTCTGTATGTCCACGTGGAAGAACTGGGAAACAAAATAATTAGATTTCAGTTGGCAAAGGCACCATACCCAGCGGTCTTGGGCTCTGTTGCACTCTGAACAGGGGGGTGCCCCCTTCATGCCTATCACTCTCCTCAGGGGGGCTGCTTCAGGAACCTTTCAGAATAGTTCCCCCCCCATCCCTATTGCCCTAGGCATGAATAAATCATTTCTTACGTGTTCCTTTCCCTGCTGACTGAGATCATTAACCTGCACCCTCAGAAGAGCAAACTCCCTCTCTCAAATCTCAGGAATAGTGTTTCAGACTAGCAATATCCCAAAGAGTTTCCTTAAGCCAGAGTTACTGTGCAAAGCTCAGATCCCAACTTTCATTGTGAAGATGCTTTCAAGAACACGGTTCTTTTAAAACAAAAATAAGAATGTGCCTGGAAATGCCTTGTTTTTAACAGGCTTTCAAGAACTTGATATTTTTTAACTTCATGAAATTCATGTTTAAGCTCCTTCAGCAAAAAAGTAGCCAAGCAAATTGGGGAGAAAGCACTCAATATGTCAGAAGGGCTGGTTGATGCCCACGACTAGAAGCACACGAACACGTTCACGTTACACTGAGAGGATCAGCCTTTGGAGAGTGACCGCACACAGGGCATACAACTCACTTTCCCATAATTTTTTGTAAAAATAATTAATCCTCTCCCAGAGTCCATCTTGCTAATTCTTCCCCTCTTTCTCCCCTTCCTGCTCTCTCACTAGGGCACGAGTCCAGGTGAAGGCTTAGCCACAAACATTGACCAGCAGCCGAGGACTCACCCCCTGGCTCATGGGTGGGACCCCCGTCAACCCTCTGCCCTGCAGTTCTGCCAAGGCTTGTCCTACACTGGCAGTCCACATCTTTGCTACCTTCACCTTCCTTCATGGTGTTACTGTTAGGGTGAAACAGCAAATCTGGGGAGGTTGTGGAGACCCCACACCTGGAAGTCAGGGACTGTGCAGAGTTAGAGGTCTCCTGCTTGTCAAGGACAAGCAGCCTGTTGCCTTCTTTCCCTCCCAATGAGTGTTTTGCTGATTATTTACAACATAGGCCACAGCCCATGTACTAGCCATGGCTGCCTGCCCCCTCCCCACAGACATTTAACTCAAGCTCTCACCTTCATGTCACTTGACCTGTGTTTCCATGGCATGTTTCCTTCCAGAGGCTGATTTCTGGCTCACATAAAACTGTTCTTCAAACTTGCCCACAAAAGTGGTAGTTAAGGGGAGAAAAGACCTTTTCATTATAACACAGAGAATGAACATGGGACCAGGGGGGTTGCAGAAGGTGGTATCACCATATCATAGCGCGAGGCTGTAATAACACCTCAATCCTGTGAACTTCCCGGCTATGTCTCCCCTCATGCAATTAAATCAATGAGGGACAAAGTGAATGGCTCCCACTTCCAAAGAAATACATAAATGTGCCTGATATTCTCCCACACAGGCAGGTGATCTGAACACAGGGGTGTACATGGGGTATGAACTGGGCCTCAAAAACCCCAAGAACAACCCCAAGAATTTCACACACACATTTTTTCCAGGCTTACAGGTTTTAGCCATTGTTGGTCTACAGGTATTCAGAATTCTGAGATATCTGATACAGGGGGGATATCTTTCATTAGACCAACTAAATAGTTGCAAAAAAATGTCTTTACTTTCAAGCTTTTGGGCTCATATACCCTTCCTTAGGCAAAGGAGAATGCACAGATTGAAACATTTCTCCCAGGTAGAAATGAAACTTCATATTGCACAAGAGAATAGAGAGATGTTATAGGTTCCCCTGGGTGGAAAAGTTCATTTTATGCAGATTAGGCTCAAATAAAGGTTGGAGCAGTCTGTTTACCTCCAAGGTGTCTGATGGCAAGCAGGGTGTGGAAATTTTCTTCCTTCATGGTAAGATGTTTTCTATTGCACAGGAGAGACAGTCAATGGGATGTATCTCCTGGCACACTCGCTCTTACTTTTGCCTCCATATGTCTGCATGAAAGGGAAGAGGAGCACAATGACATTCAGATCCCAACATTCAGATCCCAACAAAGATATGCCCAGTTATCTTAGACTATGTTACGCTATGAGCAGGTGGGAGATGGACACTTCAGTGGAGTCCTTTGTTGTCACTAATCACACAAAACTACTTAGGGAATTTCATCAGGAGCTTCAACTCTATCCACATAAAGATTTTTAATGTTGAAGTTTGTGTTCTCCCCTTCTCAGTCCAGGTACCATCTGCAGGGGCTGCCCTGTGCCTCCAGCTCTGGGAACTTTTCCAGTGTCCGGATTGGTACCATCTTGTTCCTGGGCTGGTACGGAGTGGTCAGCCTGGAGCAGAAGGAGAAACCCCCAGCAGGTGTCAGGAGGGAGGGGACTGGAAAGGGGGAGGGCAGCAGTGGACAATGTGAGATAAATGTATTTCCAAGCAGTCCAGCTCCCCAAATCCGCCTGGGGCTACAGTGAGGGCTGTGAAGCTGTGCAGACCTGCGGGGGATGAAAGTCCCTTGAAGGAAGTGCAGTGTAAAGGAAAGACTCAAGGGAGCCTGTGAGAAGAGAGGTGCCCAGGACGAGGACAAGATGCGAGGGGCCACAGAGGGGGAGGACAGAAATGTCCCTGGCAAGAAGAGACTCAAGGCTCAAAGCCACGAATCTCCCTGCTGTCAGAGCCAGCCCTGCCGAGCCCCTCCCTGGACCCTTGTGAGTGGGTGACAGTCCTGCCCAGGACCACACAGACCTGACTGGGGGCAGCCCCTTATCTCACTCCTGTCTCTTACCATGGCTCCCTCCTCATTATTGTCTCCTGGAACAGGATAATTTGGTGATGGTAATCCTTGATCTCCCCAGCCAGCCACAACTTCCGTGGGATGGAGGAGAGAGCAAAGGCAGCGTCAGGGCAGGGAGTAGCGAGTGGCTGCCTGGGACAAAGTCCCACAGATAAACGGACTGCAGCACATCACCCCTGACACAAAGACATGCACAGGCCTGTCCCCAGAGCACATGTGCATGTACACACATCGGCCACCCCCACAGGCTCACACACACAATCACTGCCAACACCACATGCACATGCATGCACTTGTCACCAGTGCACGCACTGCCCAACAGACACATGTGCGCGCACACACTCATTCCCAGGGCACATGTGCAGATCACAATCCCACCCACATGCTCACATGTGAACAAAACCCACCAGACAGACACATGGCCTCACACACACACTTAACACTCACCCAGATCAACAGCAGGCTCTCAGATGCACAGCAAGTGGGTGGGGGTGCAGGCATGGTCCTACCATCCTCATCATATTTTGGAGCTGATGTAAGACTTCCAGATTTGGTTTCTGCTTAAGTAGGGTGGCCTCCTCTTCTTACAGATCTTTTGCCAGGAGACTATTTTTTTAAAGGTGCTCTTTATACTCATTGCAGCCCCACTCATGCTTAGCAAAAGTGGTGACATCCTGCAAGGGAATACAGTGCAGTGCCCTGAACACAGTGACATGGCAGCTGAATGAAGGGGGTGTCTTCATCTCACTTTGGGGATCCCGAGGTGCTGGGGAGCCCCTGCCATCCTCCACACCATCTGCAGAAGTCCCCTGACTCCCAGGGCCCTGGCAGGCACCTCAGACTCTGTCCTGTGCTGCCCAGAGGGGCTCACGCCAGGCCCTCCTGAATGCAGCCTCGCACAAGGGGAGACCTGGGACACCATTAGATCCTAGGCACTAGTTCAAGGCCACATGCGTCTCCTTCTCCCATCACATGCCTGGGGGCAAAACTGCCAGGCTTCATCCCTGGCCATGCCATTCACTCCCTGGTTGTTCTCACGCAAGTCCTTCCCACAGCCTTGTTTCAGTTTCTCTATCTATAAAACACAGTCAAAGCCACCCAGCAGGGTCAAGTCCTGGGAGGTGCCCAGATGCTGCAATCAGAGGAGTCCTAGCTTGGCCTCTTGGGGCTCCTGGGCAGCCATGGACTCTTCTGTCTTTTGGTGCAAGCATTTCAGGCTATTCAGCCAGCTCAGGGCAAAAGGGAGTGCAGGACAGGGACCACAACCTGCCCAGATAGGAGAGCTAATGGCAACAGATCCACCTCTGCAGGCACCTCACAGCCACTTACCTACTGCCTGCACCTGGGCTCCTGTCCTCCAAACACGTTCTCTGGAGGGATCCAAACCCTGGGGGCTCTGCTTCTTGCCTTGGGCCAGGCAGGTGGTGGCGTGCCGTGTCTAGCCGTGCGGCTTGTCTCCACCTGTTGGAGCTGAACACGACAGCAAATGTTTAGCAGAAGCCATCCTGGGACTGCAAGGGGGGTCACAGGGGCAGAGTTGCTGGGCTAGGGCAGTGGGGGTCTTGGGGTGCAAAGGGGCTTTGGTATTGGGTTGATCTTGACCAGCAATTCTCAATCAGAAAGTGGCGAGATCCTTAGCACTTTTACAGATCACACCTATGTGAGGCACAAAACAAGCCCTGAGATTTCAAATAGGAATCCGTGTGTCAAAGAATGGCTCTATTTTCTCTTGTCAAAATATGAGTGAAAACTATGAGCTGGCATCTTCAAGGGGTATCTTTAGTGTAATGAGGGGGCATATTGTGTGTAAAAAGGTTGAGAGTCACAGATCTGGGTTGAGAAAGGAAGTTACCTGTTTGAAGGCAGGCAGAAAGCAGGAGAGAGATGCACCTTACAGCCTAACTCAGGGTTGCTCAGCCCCTGGCCAAAGGACCACATCCAGCTCATGGATCCAAGTCGGCCACCCTGTGGGGTCTCCATGGATTTGAAAATTTAATGGATGGGAAGTGGTGGCAGCATTAATTGCCATGACTCTCAGAGCCCACAACAATTAATGTTGCCACTGTTCCCCCAGTGATAAATGTTTGGTCTTGTGAGGAGCTCACATAAGGGTGTAAATGAAGTGGCGGTGACAGGGGCACGAGCCCTGGGTGCTGACCCTGGGGCAGGGAGTGGCAAATAGAAGCAGATGCATTGCCACCCCATGGGCTGCTGCACCCCAGATGATCAGGGCTCATTTTAAACGCACCAGATCTGACTTCATGTGCTGCTCCAAACCTGATGCATGGCCCTGGGCTCGGCACTTGGGCCCAGATTCGATGCACGTGCACTGGGTGTGTGGTGTTGGACCCTCCACCCCTTTGCCCCTCTCTGCCCTGCCACCCCTTTGCATGGCTCCTTGCCCAGACCCTCCTTGGAAGTTTGGGGTTTGCAGCCAGATGTGGAGCGGCTGGTCAAGGCTGTGCTCTGCATTAGCCCTTTGGCAGGACTGAGTTGGAGGCTATTGACCTCATCACCTTCAGTGCCCTGCCATCAAGGGGGAGCCGCCAGGGGGCCACTGTACAAGGAGTGTCATCTCCAACAGGAACACAGTTCATTGATTGTCCCCTCTGGGGGACGGGCCCTCCTCACCACCACTGCTAAATAGTAAGGGGGTGGAGTTGGGGAGTGACTGGAGGGGAAGAGGGGAATGGACGGGGGACCTGACACGAAGATCAACCACGCCCAGGAGGGCACCGCAGACCCTGGGCACCCGGTGCCATGGCCTTCCCATTGCCCAGTGGCCTCGTCAATCCCCATGTGGCCCAAACTCCCATTGCCTGGGAGCGCAGGGTGCTCAGCACATTTCTCATGGCTGGAGGCAGATGGAGCCTGGGGGTCTGTGCCGCTCTGGCCCCCGGGCCACAGTAGGGATGCTCAGAGCAGCAGCCGTCCCCTCCCCTCCCAGCGGCACTGGTGTGGGGCAGGCATGTGACTCGCCAGAGCCATGGGCTGAGCGTCCCTGCCACACTTGCAAGGCTGGCTTCACCTGCAGGCTCGATCTCTTCCCTTCTCCCCGAGTGGGCGGGACCCCAGGACCCGCCACACAGCCCGCCCTGCCCCTGCCCCTGCCCCGAGTGAACAGGATGCCTCCAGTCCTGTGATGTGTTTGGTAGCGCTGCTGGTCTGAGACAAAAAAATATGCAAAACTCTAGGACTCTTGGTTCAGAGATGATACCTTTCATTAGACCAACCAAGAAATAGCAAAACAAAAAAAATGATCTTTTTCTGCAAGCTTTTGAGCACAACAGGCACCTTTGGGACAGGAGCAGGGGCAGATTAACGCACAGACCCGTGGGACGCAGGCCAGATAGGGCCCCCTAGGGTGCCAGGGGAAGCACAGCCCATGCAGGCAGGGCTGCAGACATCCGGGGCCAGCAGCGCATGCCTCCTCCTCTCTGGCCGGGGCAGGGCCAGGGGTGGATGTGAGGCTTCTTGTGGGCAGAGGCAGCTTCCCCAGGTGGTCTGCAGCCAGGAGGCCCCATGGGCAGCTCCGCTCCCTGCTGTTTGCAGGTGGCCACTGGCTCCAGCGCTGTTAAAACAGGACGGGGCGGGACAGTCCCACCCCATCAAGCTTGGCAAAGGGGTGGGTGGGCAGGTGGGGGTGGCATGGAGCCTGTGCCTCCCCCACAGGCCGGCCCTGGCCCCAGCCCCAGCCTGCAGAGCTGGGGGACTGCAGCACTGGCTGTATGACACGCACCACGCAGAGGAGAGGTGCTGGACCAGGCCATGGCAGGGGCCACCTTCATCTCGGAGATGCTTGTGCCCCTGGCTAGCAGGTGGGCCCAGCCACAGCCCCCTGGCAGGGGTAGAGCAAACCTCCCCTCACTTCCAATTTTCTGTTTTCCCGGGACCCCAATAAATCTTAATCTGCCACTATTGGGCTGGAGAGGAAGGGGCTAAGCTGGCTTCGGGGTGAAGAAGGGAAGGAACGCCCTAGCCCCGCAGCCCTTGCTCAGAAAAGGCACGGGAGAGGGGTCAGGTGAGGGGCTGGAGCCACACAGAAGGGACGGACGGCATTCTTGCTCTTCCATCTGCTGGGAGGAGGAGTCCTCGAGAAACAACTGCGACCCCAAGTGGCCACTGCTTTTTCCTTTGGGCTCCAGGATGCTTCTGGGAGACTGGGCGGAAAGATTTCCATGTGCCAGGCCAGGGCCCTTTTCCATTGAGTGGAACCGAGTGAGGATGCAAAGTGGGTGCTGCCATGTGCCTGCTGCCCGCCTGAAGCCTTGGTGGTGTGAACAGGCCCAGGAGACCCAGCTGTACCTTGCTGTTTTGGGGAAGGGAAAACGTTCTGTGAATAATATGCTCTGGGAAAGCCCTGGCCCTTGTGACACATCCGTCTCCCCCCATGGCTCTCACAGCTCTTCCTGAAGCAGCTCCACCCAAAGGGGAGGCTCCAGGTGGCTTCCCAGTGTTGCCCGAGTCCAAGACTGGGCCCACCCTGCTTAGCTCTTTTGGGTTCCTCTGACTTCTCCAAGAACGCGTGGCCCAGACAAGCTTGGGTGTTTCAGGCACTCAGAAGAGCACGGAGAGGAAGTCTCTCCACATCTTCCCCTGCTCCTCTCAAGAAGCTGCAGCTAGAGAAGGGGGTAGGGGGGGAAGAAGAGGGGGTTTCAGGACAAAACCTTCCTGGAGACACTCCCATGTTCTTGTACTCAGTAAAGATACTTCAGTGTTGCTCTTCCAGCCCCTATTTCCCATCTTCCCCCTGGAATAGAGAGATGTCCCATCAGAAGTGAGGGGAGTTAAATCAGGTCTCAGGATTGTTCACTGCTGAGTTTTTTCTATTTACTCCCTAGGGCATGGCCCTACAACATGGACTTTGGTTTCCCTTCTCCCTTTTACCTGGATTTTCTTTGCACTGATCCAGGAAAAGCAAACTCTTTGTCTCTTGGCTGCCTGGGAATATTAAGTCTTATTGTAACTTTCTCTGGGGCAATGGAAAGGACTAGGGGCAGCTGACAGGATCTGATTTTTTACCTGAGGATCTTCAAGCCCTGTAATTATTTCCAAGGCCTTTTTGTTTGATCAGTGACCAGCTGGTAGAAGCTTGTTAGTATTAAAATCAGATAAACTACTTCTCAGGTTCATTCAGTGCCAAGTCTTTCCTCTTCATTCCTGTGGTTATAGCGGTTGCAATTCAGAACACCCCCCCAGAAGTCATACAGGGTTTTCAAGAGTGAGCCGAGAAGAAGGGGCAAAGAGCTCCTCTCTCTCATTGCAGGGATGCTGAAGACAAACAGCCCAGACCCTGGGTGTTTGGATTCCACCTCTTCATCCCACCATCTTTGCTGGCCCTTGCCAAGCGAGGAACATCTGGGTTTCAATGTACTGATTGCGCCCAAGCATTTAGGACTCAGAAGAGTGAGGCAGAGCTCAAGGATGAAGACAACACATTGTATACCCCTCCTGCCTCCCCCCACCCCTAAAAAAATGCTAACATAGAGACAGATTTGGAAGAGGTGAGAACAACAGCTATCTTTTGATTAGTAAACCCATTCCCTCCCCGTCCATGTTTCTGCACACAGGCTGAGAATGGTTGTGGTCCAAGACATTGGTAGCGGACACCTTGCATTATGCAGAAAGCATGATCAGCCAATTCTTCTCTTCTGTGGAGAACCTGCCTTTCGAATTGGTTACATGGTTTGATGCCTGTGCCAAGAAGCAGAGTGCATTTCTAGGACATCCATTATGATTGAGACAGACAAGTCTGTTTTCCATACCTTGGCATCTGGGGTGCCTTACTTGTAGCATTTAGGCCTCACTTTTCAACATGGGAAAATTACTCCCTGTTCAGGTTGGAAATGGAAACATTTGACTTTCTCCAAGTACATGGCACTTGGTCCCCAATGGAAGACTTTTTCCTCTCCGTAACAGCACATTTCTCTTACAGTCTGTGCTTGGAAGAAGCATGGAGATGTTGGTGCAGGGAAATCTGGTAGGAGTGGAGTGCTGCGCTCCTCAGCTCAGCTTCTTCTGCTCCTCCCAGGTGCTGGGAACTGGGGGGGAAGGACTGTGGGAATGGGTGAGACTTTCATCAAACAGATAGCTGAAGTTTTCCATTTACAGGCCCTGGTTCTCATGGGGGACGCCAATCCCCCTGACAGTACAGCAGCACACAGGCAATCCAGGAAGGTTTTGGAGAGTGCTGGGGATATCTTCCTGCTGCAAGTGTTGAAAACACCTAGTTGGTACTGGGAGCTGAGCTCTTCTTGACCTGCTGCTCACAAACAGGGAAAAAACGGTGGGGAATGCAATAGTGGGTGTAGCAATTTGGGCAGCAGCCACTACAAGATGAATGAGTTCATAATCCTGAGGAAAGGAAGGAAAAAGAGCAGCAGAGTAACAGAAAAACAGGCTTTGACTCACTCCAGGAATTGATGGGCAGGATCCTGTGGGAGGCCAGTCTGAGAGGGAGAGGAGTCCATGAGAGCTGGTTGTATTGTAAATAAACCTTACTGACGTGCAGGAACAAGCCATCCTGATGCACAGGAAGATTAGCCAATATAGCAGATCAGCTTGGCTTAGCAGGGAACTCTTATGTGAGCTTAAACACAAAAAGGAAGCATACAAGAAGTGGAAACCTGGGAGAAACAGCTAGGGAGGAGTCTAAGAGTACTGCTGGGGCATGCAGGGATGAAGTCAGGAAGGCCAAAGCACTCTGGAGTTGCAGCTAGCAAGAGATGTGAAAGGTAACAAGAAGGGTTTCTACAAGCATGTCAGCAACAAGAGGAGAGTCAGGGAAAGTCTGGGTTCCTTACTGGGTTTATTTAGTCTGGGGAAGAGAAGACAGAGGGGATTTAATAGCAGCCTTCAACTACCTGAAGGGTGGTTTCAAAGAGGATGGAGCTGGACTATTCTCTGTGGTGGCAGATGACAGAACAAGGAACAACAGTCTCAAATTGCAGCAAGGGAAGTTTAGGTTAGATATTAGGAAAAACTCCCAGGGAGGGTAGTAAAACACTGGAACAGGTTACCTAGAGGTGGTGGAATCTGCATCCTTGGAGACTTTTCAGACCTGGGTAGACGAAGCCTTGGCTGGGGATAGTCCTTCTTTGAGCAGGGAGTTGGATTAGATGACCCATTGATGTCCCTTCCAATGCTAATTTTCTGTTTCTCTCTCCACTAAGAAGTGGCCCAACACACTTCAAAAGCTTGCTTGACTGTGTGCACTGCTGTGTTAGCCCTCACAGATTATGCAGTGATTAAATGTCCCACATAAGCACCAAACCCTATTTGGCTGCTTCAGTTAATTGTCAGAACACCTCCCATCCTCTCTTCCTCCTGGTTTGGTGGTCTATAGTAGACATTACCATTGCCTTTGCTGTTACCCACTTTACCTTAACCCAGAGACTTTCTTCTATGCTTCAGAGCAATCACAAATATACAAAGGTAACATTCCTCCTTTTCTACACTCCTGCCTGCTCCTTCCTGAAGGAGTTAATACTGATCTGACCAACCTCAGGTATTTTAATTACATCGTAATTCCACATGTATACTAGGACTTCCAGTTTTCTCCAATTCTCACATTTATATATAAACACTTCAGGCAAAATTGCCCTGCTACTGCTTTCCCCTCTTACAACCTTGTGAGGACTCCCCCTATTGCCTTCTTGGCCACCTCGCTCTTTACTTAGTCTTCATCCCCTCGCTGAGCCCAATTTAAAGCCTAGGTTAGTATGCTTAGATGTGCAGCCACAGCTTTGGACAGAGACAGAAAGGAGGCAGCAGTGGTAGGGACACTGGCATCACAATGCAGAAGTGTAACTGGGCAGTTCTGAACCCTTGCCAGCAGTGGTGGCAGCAACTGCAGTCAGATGGCCTGTGGTAGTGCTGTGGTCAGGAAAGCAGCAACCAGGACTGCTTTTGTGCACTCTGCATTATGGCCTGGGGCTGGTGCTCCAGTGGCTCCCATCTTAGCTACACCACTGTCACTGTCTCCCAGCCATTACAATGAGCCTTCTTCCAGGTCCTCTTCAGAGAGCTTCTTTGCATCCCTTGACAGTCTTGATGGATTCAACCAGCTTACACAAGTAGGCTGCTGAAACATGAAGGGGAAACTCCCCCTGCAAAGCTTTCTGCTCTCTGGCTCCGGGCATTGCTCATTCTTTCAAAGTTTCCACTCTACATTTTTTCACGGCCAATTTACACCCCTTATTCAACATAATCCTTTAGTTAAAAAAATCTACTTTCTGTATCAAGAGAAACAGATCCTACCCTCCTCAGCCTTTGTTTTGCCAGGTGCAGCAAACGGACCTCTCAAGTGATAGAAGCTCTGCACTCTCCCACATCGACAGGGTGCCCCTTCTCTGAACCTGCTCCATTTGAATTCATGTTTCTTCAATGCAGGTGACTATACCGTACACAAGACTCCAGTTACAGTCACGCCAGTGCCTGGTGCAAGAGCATTAACATTTCCCTATCTCTTCTAGAAATACCTCTCCAGATATATCCAAGTAGCACACGTGCTTTTTTCCATGGCTGACTCTTACTCCTGAGGGACTTTGGACTGCTAATCAGAGGACACCCAGGTCATCCTCCTCTCCTATTACGGTTCCCATCTAATAACAGGTATTCTTAGCCACACACACGTGACTTCGTATTCTGTACCACTATATTTCAACTTGTTACTCCAATGCTTGAGGTCACCCAGACCTTCTGCTGCGATACCCCAAACTGCCTCCATACAGACACTGTCTCCTAAATGTTACTTCACTGGCAATCTGTCAGCATACTCCGACCTTTTGTGCCAAGTGCATTTAAATCATCATCTCTCTCAGTGCTTCTCTGTACAAGAAACACAAAGTGTGTGAATTAAACCTTCTGTAAATCACACCAGTAACTGTCTAGATGAGCACTCATTTTTAATACATTTCCCCTTCCTTACTTCAGACTGCTCTCCACAGCTTAACCAAATTAAAAATAATCCTCCACTTTGTGGGACTTTTGCCAAAGTAACTGGATAGGGCTTGTAGACACACAGACCCTTATTCTTTTAGGACACTACAAGCCAGCTGTTCAGGTTTTCTCAGCCTGTGCATTAAGTAGCATGGGTAGAGCAGACTCAGCTGACACTGTTGTGCTGTCTCTAGCAAATCCTCTCCCATCCCCCTCTTGGGTCTGCAATGCTAGATGGTAACAGATAACTGCAGCTGCCAGCTAAGACAGCTGTAATCCCCAGGCTCACCTCATAGTGCATCATGGTTGTGAAGCATCAAGGCTCAAATCTGTTGAGAGCACAGATTTGTTACCCTCACAGCCACTGCCCAAGTGGAGGCAACTCTGCTTTGCTCTAATCAGGAGTCTCAAGAGCAGGCTAGAATAACAAGCATCTGTAGCCCAAGCATTCCTGGACCGCACGGAACTGGGAGCAAATAAAGACAGCACTTCTAGAGTTCTCTGGGGCGTAAACTTTACTTTAAATAAAATACACAGCACAGCCGCTCACTCACACACAGTCACTGGGCTGCCTCAAACCATCAGTTTTCATCACAGCCACAGTACACCAACACATCAGGCCACAGCGGCGGCAGCAGCAGCAACAGCCCCCCATGAGGGGCACCCGTCACAGAGAGGAGGCAGCCCTGACTTCCAGGACAGCGTGGGTGGCAGTGCCCAGGAAACTCCCAGCCCAGTTGACACCCTGCTGTCCCCCTCCCTGCAGCCCACTAGTGCAAATGGAGTTTCACGCAGCTTGGACAGTACTTGTCTCTTCGCAGGAAGGAGGACTGGAGTAGGAATTGTGACCTTGGGGGGAGATGGGACAGGGTTAGGGAAGGATAAAGGCCGTTTGGCATCAGCTTGCGTCCCGGGGGGGGGTGAAGAACTGCCCCCCAGGGGACCTGCGCCTGCCCACCTCATTGGCAAAGGCGCTTGGCTGAAAGGTCCATAGGTGGCTTTGAGCCCTGGTGCCCTTGAGCACTGCTGAAGGCTGTGATTTTTACGCTGGCTACCTCTGTACTCTCTGCCACAAGGAGAGCAACCTAGGGCACTAAGCACCAATATTCTCAGGGCAGGGGCTGGCCCTCCCAGGTTCCCCAGTACACTGCAATGTACTGAGCAGCTCTGCAAGAAGAGGGTGAATCCTGCACACAGGACTCTTCCCTCTCCCCACCCCAGCAAGGGCCACAGAGGTCCTGGAAAGAGGGCATGAGTCCCCAGGGTGGGCCAGGGAAGGGCAAGGTCTACAGGCCACCGCTGTATGTCAAGGTCACTGCTACTGGACCCCCTTTCCCTGTGAACAGAGCATGCACCTTGTTCAGGGGCTAAAGCAGGGCAGCAGGTAAGAGGGCAGATATCAGTTCATCCCTTGTCCTACAGCTTGGAGCCTGGGTGTATCCCCATGGGGATACACCTGCTCAGGACTTGCCCCTCCCTGTTCCCCACATTGATCAGATGTAGTGTATCTGGCAGCAGCATATTTCAGCCCACCAATGCCCTCCCCCCTTCCCCCACAGAGCCAAGACATGCCCAGCAAGGCTGGTGACACCACAGAGCCACAAGGAGCGTGCGTAAAAACTAGCAGTGCTGGTACTGTCTGCTCTGGACACACAGTAGTGCAGGGAGACTGCAGCTCCTAGCCTGCCACGCTCCCAGACCCAGGTGGCCACAGCCTGCAGGTGACTCAGCTGCAATAAAAGGACACGCAGGCTCTAACCAAAGCCCTGCCGTGGAGGACCCAGAGGATGTGGTAAGATGGAGCTAACAGCCTCCAGGACACAGCTCAGGCAGGGCCAGCAGTGGACCCTGGGAGGTAAAGTCTCTGGAGACCGTGGCTTAACATGGTAGGGAGGCTGCAGAGCACTAGCTCCTATGTCCTATGGCCTCTCCAGAGCCAGCCGCAATGACCCCTTCCCGCCTGGACCCCACGTCCCTTCCATCCAGGCAACCTGAGGGGAAGGAACAGGGTGAGGCAGCAGGGCAGGGGGGTTAGAGACTGATGCTGCGGTGGTGCTTGAATTGGCTGTGCCCGGCCCGGCGCTGCTCCCGCTCCTCCATCTCATCACTGTTGAGGCTGGTGGCATCAGACAGGCCAAGCAGGTGCTCTACTGAGTCGAACTTCTGCAGGTCAGAAGCGATGGTCTGCAGGCTGAGCACCGAGAGCGTGTCTGCAGCGGGGCACTCGGCCCCCAGCCGGGCACCCCCTTCTGCCCCCAAATAGAGAGGGCTGGCCTCAGCTCCCACCGGCGAGGCACGGCGCACAACAAGGCGCTGCAGGCGCCGGGCGTGGATCTGCTCACTGATCTGCTCCAGATTGCGCAGCGCCACCGAGTAGCGCATCTTGGCATGGGAGACTTGCTGCTCCAGCCCTGTCACCTTGGCCTTGTGTTCCTGAGGGGAGATGAATGGGTGTGAGGCTCCTCCTTCTGCCCCTCAGACCTTTCCCAGCAACGCGCATCCCTTCAGCTTTGTCACCAGGGCTGCAAGCTCCTCAGGGAGCAGATGAGGACATGACAGGTCATCACCATGCACCACAGTCCCCAGGGAGCTGGGGACAGTTCCCTTCCCCATCGCCCTCCTCCCCACTTGTCCCCCAATCTTCTGTCCCAGCCCCATCACCTCAGGCTTGGCCTCCTGAGGTCAACAAGGCAACCATCCACTCCCAAAAGGATATGGAGACTCTCTGCCCCTGCCCTATGCACTCAGTACAGCCTGCTGCATGCCAAACCTCTTCCTCCTGTCCCCCACCTACTACAAGGGTAGGCCATTACTCAGCTTCCTGCACTCTCTCTCACCACTGGCTTAGGTCCCAGCAATGGGAATCCTTGCCGTTCTCCCATAGGGAGGAGCCCTGTAGAGGCAGACTGTTACATTCACCACCTCAAGGGACCACAGGCACTGAGGGGAGGACCCTCACTCCCTCCCCAGGTCTCTGTCAGCAGAGGCGCTATCAGCAGTGGGTAGGTGCATGTCTCACCTCCAGGATCTGGTTGAACTGGGCCTTGAGCTCAAAGTAGGGCTTGCTCTTGACAATGAGACGCTTGAGGGATTTCTGCAGGGCCTGCACCTTGGCCTCAGCCTGCTGACATAGCTGGGTAACGCGCTGGTGCTCCCGCTCGCTGCGCAGCCGCTCCTCCTCTGCCTCATTCACCTGCAGGAATCACACAGCTCAGTGGGGTACATCCATGACCAGCCCCATCTTGCATACACAAGAAACCACCACATCCTGTTCCCTCCCCTTTTTCTCCCCCATCCCTCCCTATGCACTAGGCACCCAGGTGTTCACTATGCACAGATTGCGCAGCTTCAATTCCCCATCCTTACCTTGGGCAATTGGTACAGCTCCCCTCCTTGCAGCCCTACCCCCTACCCTATTGGGCAGCATGCTCACTTGGGACAATGCCTCCCGGAGTTGCCTGCTCTCAAGCTTCCATCACACAGGTAGATAAAGCTCTGTACCTGGGATAGCATGGCCTCTACCGCCCAGCTCCCATCTAACAGCAGTCTGTTTTCATGAGACTGGTACAGCCCCCTCAGATATTCTATTCTATCAGCAGCACAGTCCCCCTTAGTATGAGCCCTTCAACTCCCGGGTTGCTGGTGGTAGGTTCTCCTGCTACTGTGGCACAGTATCCTAGGCCCCACCCCTAATGGCTGATATTGCAGGGGGGGGGTTGGGAAGCCCCCCCCCCCCGCCCCCCCCCCCCCCCCAAACACTGGTTTCACTTCCTGGCCCCACACCCTTGTTCTCACCTTGCAGGTGGCATGGTTGAGCATCTCCTGCCAGGTGGGGTCCAGCCGGTTCTTGTCTGCCATGACGCCCTGTTCAGCCACAAAGACCATCTCGCGGGCAGCGTTGTGCATGCTGACTGCCCGCTCATACCGCAGTGCTGCCTTCTGCGTCTCCTGCTGGGCCTGCACAATGGGGACAGGAGCATCACACACAAGGGAAGAGTGCACAACCAAGGGAGAAATCCCAGGAGCCCCAACTTCAACTCTGACAGGTGGCGCACAGCCCTGGGGAAGGCAGCTTGGCCAAGCCTGGAAGTAACAAGAGGCAGAGCATGGGATGGTGCAGTCATACCTCCTTGGCCAGGCGACGTGCCTCATAGTAGGGCCGCGCTTTCTCGATGCAGTTACCCAGCTGTGAGCCCTGTGCATTCAGCTTCCTGGCAGATTCAGAGAGGATCCTACGGTATGTGGTTCTAGCATCCTGCAGCAGAGAAGATAGGAAAGGCTGGGTCGACAACTGGCTTCAAGGACATGGGATCCCCTCCCAAATCTGGCACCTTCTCCCTGAGGCATCGCATGCCTGAGCAGTGTCTTGGGGCTAGCACCAATCTCAAGGAGAAAGCACCTTTCAGAGATGTCTGCATCCACAGTAGAAATCACCAAGCCCTCCTGCACAAGGGGAGCATCCACACCAGTGTCTGGCTGTACCAGAGCATTTCCCTTAGAGGTCTCCCACCACAGCTCAACTCTGCTTAGCTTCAAAAACATGCAGCAGGAAAGTGCAGACAGCTCCAGAAGCTGCTCCAAATGTCACCCAGTCATGACTAAGGACTGGTACCTAAGGCAGCAGAAAGGAAGGGAGCCTAAGGGCCGGACAGGACTCTGGGAAGGAGGGGCAAGGAGATGATCAGCTTGGCAGGCTGCAGAGGTGCTGGGGACAGAGGGCTAGGAGGTGGCAGGAAGACTCAGAACTCACTCACATCCAACTGCAGCTCCACACGGTTGATTTCCTCATTGGCCTGGTTGAGGTGTTCCAGCTCCTCCTGCAGAAGGGAAGGCAGGGCTCTGGGACCTGCATCTGGACACATGTAGCCCTGCCTCAACCAGCCCCCAGCTCCTATCACACCTCCCACCCTCCAGCCTGGGGTGGGTGGGGAGGAGCCTTCACTGAATGGCTTCCACCTCCTGAAGTGAGCTGGTGCCATGTCCCTGTTGTCAGAGCACCTGATGGGGGCTCAGGAGTCCCAGGTTCTATTCCCAGCACTAGGAGCCGTTCCCTCCATCTCTAGGGACTTCAGCCTCCCTGTCTGCAGAACAGAGACTGATGCTCCTTTTGTAAAGCACTCTGCTTCTGGCTGATATGAACCACGGTAAGAACCGGGCTCTGACATCACAGGCATCCTAATGTCACCCCCCACCCCTCAGCCTAGTGCTTGTCAACACAGGGGCATTCAGGAATGTCGATCCAAATTCAGCTAACAGAGTGCATTTAAGCCTGACAGGTTAAACTGCATTAAACTCCCGTGTCAACAAACTTCAGCATGAAAATAGCTGACTTGGGAAGCAAATTAAACTAAACTGAACCAAGGCCACTAACTCTGAATGAGAGCACACACCCATTTCAATGCCATTTAACCATGCTGCCCTTACTTTAGTTGAATTTACTTCTAAGGTAAACCCACTTAAAAATTAAGTCACAGCAACTTTCCAGGGCACAAGCGTGCAGGGAACAGACCATATCTAAGCCAAAGTTTGTGTTGCGCACAGACTGCTGGTGGAGCCCAGCGAGCTGTGCCCTGCCATAGGAGGGAGGGTGCTGGCCCCTACCCCGAATGTCTTTTAGGGATTTTGCTTTAAATGGTTATAGCACAGGAATGCATAAGCAATACAGGGAGTCAAGAGCAAGAGCCAAACCCTCTCTGCTGGGGTAGAGCGCATCTCACTGGGCTAGTCAGCTTCCTTTTGGCATCCCTTCTCTTCCCCACTTCCTGGCTAATCAGTAAAGTATCTTCAACAGGTAGGGTGTAGGGGGCCTTTGGGCATGCTCAGCCCACGGAGAGTTTGCTAGAGCTCTTTGCTGGGGAGTGGGAGATGTGGCTTCAAACATCCTTTGGGTGAGGAAGTCCGAACTCAAGCCTCCCATTCCCTGCCCTGCCTGCTAGGTTGCTGAACTAAAAGGTAGGCAAACCTGATTCCTCCTCCTCACCCCTTGTCAGACAGGGTGGATTAGGATCATATCTGTGTGGGTGGTGGCTCTCAGGTGAATACATGGCATGATAGATGAACATGACTAGCCATTAAACCACCCTTTGGAGGCCAAGTAGACAGATTAGGATGCAGCCCTAAGCATTCATACAGCAGCTATCAGGCCACAAATTCACTGCCTGACTCCCTTGCCCTGCCCAGCCTATGGCTATCCTGATTTGGCAGGGGAGGGTGAGCTAAAAATTGAACTCAGTGTGGTGTGTGCTGTATCTACAATGGCTTTGCCCAAGCTGGACTTTTAGGAGGAACAAATTTGATCAAGCAGCATAAAAGTATCAAACCCAAGAGCTCACTTGATGGACTCAAGTTAAGCTCCCACCTTTTCATGTTTAAAGCCTTTATACAGATGAAACATACAGCGGTGGTTCAGAGGTTCAGGTACCAGCCAGAGATCCAGGTGTCACAGGCTCAAACCTCTGCTACACTGAGATTGTGGGCAAAGTCATAGATCTCAACCCTCCAGAGTTTTAGGCAATTAACTTCCACTGGGACCTTGGTTGCTCTCAGCCTAAGTTCCCGCCTATAAAATGGGGACCACCGCACCCCACACCTCAGAAGGTGGTTGAATGGATAAATGCAGTACCGAGAGAGGTGCTCCGATACCAGGTAAACAGAGGATGCGTCAGTACCAGAGGTAGGTGCTGTTGTGCAGAATCAAGGTAATTCTTATACAAATTCCCTTCCGTTGCCTCCATCTGTCTCTGGGACCTGCTTCTTTCCACTGAGCTGGGAAAGCCACCACCACATAGTCAGCAGGCACTAGGGACACCAGATTTTAAATGCCTTCCCAAAACCACCTACAACACAGTCCCAGTTACAGCCTTCTGCCATGGGTAATGCACAGCTCACAAACACATCCTCCAGTGGACATGCATGACCAGGCCCTGGCAAAAGGCTGCCAAGCCAGCTGCCGCACCCCACATCCCCCTCCCCCCAACCAACACCAGGGATGGACTCTGCTCACCAGAGCTTATACGGCACGAGGTAAAGGGCCAGACTCTGGAGCTGTGTTTGAGACACAGGGAGAAGTGAGTAACGCACCCTCAAGCCAGCATATTACAAAGACCCGTGACTGCTACTGCCTACAAGACAGAGACTCAGCCAGGCCGTCACTTATGTTCAACCCACCTGTATTCTGGGGTCCAGCTCTTCTTCCTCCTCTTCCCCACCTCTCTGAGGTGTCTTGGCACTTTCCCCACGGCAGACGTCTTCAGGGATAGGTGTCCCCGGCTTCTGACCCTCCTCTGCAGATGTCCGTAGCTGCCCGGGAGGCGTTTGTCGTCCATCCCTCTCGTTCATACCAAGAACCAGCCGCTGGTCTGAATCCTCCATGCCAGGAGTGCCATGCCTTTCTTCCCCCTCCATAGTATCAGGTTTTCCTCTCCAGGCAGGCCAGGGTGCAGCCTTCACAGGGACACAGGCATCCTACCAGGCGGTCCATCTATCACGAGCCCAAGGGCAGAGCTATGCACCTGGACCCACAGTGCTGGATCAGGCAGATGGACGAGCCATGGGCAGGTAGGAGACTGAAGCCTGCTCTGGGTTAAAGCTGGAGCTCAGGGTGTAAGGGGGACATTCAAGGACGAAACCGTGAGATGCAAGTCAAGGACTGACCACAGCCACAACGAGGCTGGAGGTCAGGCTGCAGGGTGCCCAGGCAGCACTCGCGCTTCAACTCTCAGCCCAGCGGAGCGCGGCGGTCCCTCGCGGCGGGCTGGGGGCCCTGTGCTCTGAAGGCCCCAAAGAGAGAGCAACGGGCAGGAGCTGGCAGAGGCCCCTGGGCGCCGCTCCTGCCCCACGAGGCGCTGTGGGGGCTTCACGGGCAGAGGCGGGTCTGGGGCGTGGAGAGACCCAGGGGCTGGCTGGAAACACCGACGCAGGGGACGGGGCTGGGGAAAAAACCAAAAAAACCAAACGGCAGAACATGTTCCGGGTGCAGTGGCCTGCCCCAGACACCAACCACCTGCATGGGGACAGGGATGGGGCCCCTGTCCCCATCGCAGCCCCTGTCCCCAATGCCCTGGCACCAGTGCACCCACGCTGCCTCCCTTCCCTGCACCTCCCTGCCCCCCTCCCTTATGCTGCCCCCTCCCCCACCAGCCCCGGGCCCGGCTCCCCCGCGCCAGCGCCAGCGCCAGCCCCAGCCCCTCCGGCCCCCCGGAACCGGAAACCGGCTTTGACCCCGCCTCAAAGCTGCCGTACAACATGGCGGCTCCTATGCGCACCCCACCGTCGTCCTGCCCGTAGACAGCCTTTGGGAAACAGCGCGGGGACGAGCGTAGAAGATTTAATAACAACACCCCGCACCGGTCTCGCTCCTAAACGGGGTCGGTGAATGGTGAGGCAGGAGGAGAGGGAGCGGCATCTGGGCGCCGCCATCTTGAGTTGCGGAGAGGACGGAACATCCGGGGACCCGAGGCTCCCCGGGGGTTTCCTCCTCCGCTGCTCCCACCGTAACGCAAGATGGCGGCGCCCTCGGCTCCAGCCCAGATGGCCGCTTCCACAAGGGCTTTTGTACGGAACACGGAAGAGCTGGTCGACGGCACCAACGTGACGCGCACCCACCGCCTCTTGGACTGGTCCAGATCTCCCTGGCGCGGGGGGAAGATAGTAACTGGGAGAAACTATAATATTTTCAAAATTGATTCTAGCTAAAAAAATAAAAAACCACAACAGGCATAATTTCCTCAAATTCCATTTTATTTAAACCCTGTTTTTATTTTGAGACGTTTCTCCCCCTCCACATCCATTGACAACAGTTGCCATGGAGTTGATGGTGGCCACATGGTCACTATGGCGATACTGGGTACCCCCCAAAGCTTTGCCAAGCATCCCCCCTCCCCCCCCACTGAAATCACAAGATTGACTTAAAAATCATGAGATTTGGTTAAAAATCAGGAATTTTTGCACATGTATAAACATAGCAACAGAGCGGGGCCTTCCTGCTCTCCTCGGGGTTGATATAACGCCCTCACAGGGGTCGAGCAGAGTCAACAGCCCTCTCCAGGCTGATCTCGACCCCCCGGGGCAGCTGCTCACACGAGGGTGCCACCTCCCCGATTCCCGTGACTGTGGGAAGAGCTCAGCGGTTGAAAAGAAAAAGGAAAAAAATGACCATGCCTCATAACTGCTAAAAAATATGACCTCTCTCCCACCACCATAATGGACAGCCCAAATGTCATAAGCATCTCTTTCTCTCTGGGCAGGCGCTGGCGTTTCTATTTCACCGGGAGTTTCAGGGTTTGTGGAACGCAGCATGACGCTTGACAATTATTTTCAAGCCAGTTTGGCAGAAAACACTTGAAACGGCCCACCAGATGAGACTTTCATGTTCAACGATCACCTTTTTGTCTGAGGAAATTGAAACGTGTCAGTCCTATATTGCCATTTAACCCAACATTTTGTTTTGAGTCTTGTTCTTGTTCTTGTTGTCCCTATCTTATATTCTTCTGACAAAATGGATGACCTTTTGTTTAAAAAAATCTGTTAAATTATTTGGCTTTTTTTTCCCATTGACCCATGTCCATGAAACATTTTGAGTTAGGTGAAATGGCACTGGAAGAATGTGCTCAAAATGTTTCCAAGGCAGGCTTCCTGTTAGATTTGTCCAGTGAGTGCTGAAATGGGGCCCTGGTCTCAGGTCACCCCTATAATTACTCTCATTAAAGTAATAAACTCTTGTTTAAAATGTCATAATTTAAGGCAGGCACATGATTTCTCTGGGGCCTGACTTACAGTGTTGGAAGAGCTGGGGTTGGCAGTAGTGGTGCCACGTTTTCAAGCTTTTCTCTGCAACCAGGAGTCTTTGAGGTGTTATTGTAAGCACTTTGGGGACAGAAACCATATTGTTCTGTATTTGTATAGCCCAGCAGGGTCCTCCTATCATGGGTGGGGATCACACCCCACAATACGAATACCAGTGATGTATGATAGACATTTACTATTATCTTTAAATGAAGCATATTCCCATAATCCTATGAATTCAGAAGGCTGAGCTTTAAGGAAAACACCAGATATATTGCAAGACTTCTGAGAGCTTCAAAGGTAAGCAGTGGAGTACAAGTGGCCTGGTTTTCTGAGGCCCTTAGCTCCCATTGCTTTGAGCAGGAGCAGGGACCACTTGGTGCTGAACAGACCTCACACTTGGGTGCCTAAATAGAATATATCAAATCTGAAGCAACAGGACCTAAGAGTGCATCTAATGTGTCCATGCTGCTTTGGCTGTGCCAGGGCTGCAGAGCATGGAAGGAACAACTGAGCTGAATGTTAAGTTGGACAGACTGGGCAGAAGACTCCAGACTACTGAACGACCAGTGAGGTATTCTTGTCCCGCGTGCAGAAGAATGGGAAGATTTTCTCCTTGAAAGAAGTATTGAAGGTAAAGAAATGGGACATGTTCTCTGCATTAAAAAATGCCACCTGCCCTTTTGTATAATCCAGGTAAATGCCAACCCTGCAGAATTTTCCAGTGTACAGAAGGACTGCAGGGGCAGTGAGACCCCAGTATTTACCTTGCATCCTCTCTATGGCCCAGACCCCAAGGTCTGGTGTTAATTGGAGATATTCTTTCTGCTTCACAGACCCTCTGGCCACCCCTACAACTCAGTAGCTGCCCTTCTCCACCCCTACACCCACCTCCCAGTAATGTTTCCCAGATGAGAACCCTATGGAACCCAAGGCACAGGGAGTGTCATCAAATCTCTCCCCATTTTCAGGCCAGTCCTGCTTCTGGTTTCCAAAAATCACACTTTTCCGGTCCTTGGAGAGTCTGAGTTTAGGGCTGGCTGTTTCAGGATCCAGAGTCACCTTCACTGAAGGGAGGGAAAGAAAGATTTCATAGATTTCATAGACATCAGGGCTGGAAGGGACCTTGGAAGATCATCGAGTCCAGCCCCCTGCCCAAAGGGCAGGAAGTCAGCTGGGGTCATAGGATCTCAGCAAGATAAGCATCCAGTTTGCTCTTGAAGGTGTTCAATGTAGGCACTTGAACCACCTCCGGTGGCAGGCTGGTCCAGACCTTGGGGGCTCGGACAGTAAAGAAGTTCTTCCTTATGTCCAGCCTGAAACGGTCTTGTCGTAGTTTATGACCATTCGACCTAGTCGTCATCTCTTGGGGCGCTCTGGTGAACAAACGTTCCCCCAGATACTGGTGGTCACCCCTGATAAACTTGTAGGTGGCCATCAGATCACCCCTGAGCCTGCGCTTTTCCATGCTAAAGAGCCCCAGGGCTCTCAGCCTGTCATCGTAGGGTCTGCTTCCCTGACCTCTGATCATGCGCGTGGCTCTTCTCTGGACTCTCTCAAGCTTCTCCACATCCTTTTCGAATTGTGGAGCCCAAAACTGGACTCAAAAGAGAATGTGATTGGATCAATGGATGGATGGATGGATGGACAGATAGAAGGATGGAGCGTGTTCCCGGAAAGAAGCCTGACTTAGGAAAAAAAATGTAAGAGCAGAAGCGGCAGCGGAGCCGTGTGCCGCTCGGGATGGGACGAGCCCAGCCAGAGCAGCAGGGGCTCAGCTGCATTTTCCCCTGCCTGCACTGGTCAGTCCTGAGCAGCACACGGCTCTGCCGCCACTTCTGCTGGCTGGCGCCGACCTGGCTGGCATCCTCCCGTCTTCAGCAGCACGTGGGAAGCCAGCACATGGGGGCCTTGGCAGGCAGGGTCCTGGCATGACCTCTGCGAGGTGAGGCGACAGGAACCGGTGTCTGGCGGACCCCGTGCTCCGGACTTACAGCGCTGAGGCCACCAGGGCTGCGTGCACGGGCGGCTGGGCACCATGGTGAGTGGGGCCGTGCAGGCGGGCGGATGAGGGGCTACGGTGCAGTGGCCGCTTCACTCCAGCCCCCATCAGGCAGCACCGGCTTGTGGGGCTGCGCTGCTTAGGGGATGGAGATGTGGAGCTATTTATTTCTCCCCTTCAGTCTCTGGGGCAGTAGCTGTCTGGGTGCAGAATGGGTCCCTCCTGCCCCTGCCTACTAGCAGCTACCATGAACCTTGCAGTAACAGGCAGGGGCAGTATGGCTAAAAATGCAGTATGGCTACACAGGCAGGGTCTCTCTGGCTCAGGACAGAGGGTGTTTGAATATGGCTCGCCGGCCCACTGGGTGATAAAAAGTTCATGATCCAGCCCCACATTCAAAAAGGTTGGACACCCCTGTCCTAGGAGAACCTGGCAAGGCATTAGGGGTCATTCTGGGCACCCACATTAATACATGTTTCGAGTACCAGGTGGTGATAAAATTTACTAGTGCTATTCTCAGGTGTAGGAACAGGGGAACAGCAAGTTGTCAAAAAAGTCAACAACATTATTCAAGTACTAGAGAAAATGATTGATTCTGATGTTGTTAACATATGAAAAAACACCAAGCGGTGACTGGATTACTGTATGTAAGTACCTTCATGGGGGTAAAATACTGGTCACTAAGTGACTCTTTCCAATGGCTGGAAGCTGATGAATTTGAAACTCACCAGTTTTTAACAATGTAGGTAATTAGGCACTGAAAAAAAAACAAAGCAGGGAAATGGTGAATTCCCCATCTCTTGGTGTGTTCAAATCAAGACTGGACAGAGCACTCAGCCAGGAGGAGGGAGACCAAGATTCAAGTCCCTCTTTTGCTTGAAGGAACTTAAATCCACACCTCCCACCTTCCAGGTGAATGCCCTAATCACCAGAGTAGGCACTATCATGGGGTGGGAGGCTCTCTCCGTCTCTCCTGCTAAAGCCATTCCAATATGCATGGCATGAGCCAATACCCATTGGGCTAGAGGGGGATGAGAATGACTCTATAGCCTACACAGGTTAGGACATTTTTCTGTAAGGGGCAGGTTAGGCTCCTGTCCTTGAACCAAGGAATTATTAATATCATAAACTTAAAGCTTCTCTGGAGCAGGGACAGATCTTTCCTTCAAGGCAGGTGTAAAGTGGAACTGCAAGAGCAGAGAAGATTTTCTTTGACTCCAGAATACCCACTACCCTGGTGGATGGCACATTTACCCAAGAGGCAGGAGATGTAGCAGAGAAGAGAACTGGGACTCCCTATGAGTGCTCTAACCATCAGGTCATTGGCATGAAGTGAACCATCACCAACCCTTGCAGCTGTGTTTGGTCTGAGGCTTAGTCTGGTTAGCATGCGTTAGTGATACCTCCACGATTGGGCCTTCTAGCATGCTAGATAGAGGAGCCCCAGGAAGGTGGAGGGGTTACCCAAGTGCTGAGCTGCTTAGCACTGACAGGGCTTATAAAGTTCTGTGCAGACCCAGAAGTAAGTATCTGGGTACCCTTAAGGTTAAGTAGTAGCTGAGCACCATTTTAAAGATATACATTTTGGACATAGGTGTCTGAAGGGGCAGGTAAATGTGTAAATCCTTGTGCAGATGTTAGCTCAGACAATGGGCTGACTCATGACCTAGCTATTGGCTACATTCAGCCTGTTGTCACTTGAAGATGTCTCCACACAGGATGTGGAGCTGGGTTTGGCTGGTA